TGGATTTTCAACAATTTCAATTTCTTCATAAATTTCTGCAAGATTTCTGATACGACTCGATCCTTCGGAGGGACTATCATGAGGAGATTGAGGAGCAGGAGAATGAGGTGGAGTGGCATCTTCACTTGCATTTTGGCTAGCGTCTCCTTCTTAGAAAGGAAAAATTACGTATTCTTCATTTTTCGGAACATTTCAATCCAACGAACTTCCTTCGTCAAATTTCGCATCTCTACTAATAACAATCTTTCCATTGCAAGGATTGTAAAACTTGGAGCCTTTAGAGTTTGCATCATAACCGATGAAAATAAACTTCCCATTTTTCTCATCCAGTTTTAATCTCTTCTCATCTGACACATGAATATAGGCAATATTACCAAAAACACGTAAATAAGAAACACTAGGTTTCTTACCACTCCAAGCTTCTTGTAGAGTCATGTCTTGAACACTCCTTGACAGGAAAGATTAGACAAATACACAGCACATGCAACAACCTCGGCCCAAAACTCCTTCTCCATACTCTTGCTCTTAAGCATACTACGAACCATGTTGAGGATGATTCTATTCTTCTGCTCCACAACACCATTTTGTTGTGGTGATCTTGGAACTGTAAAGAAATGCCGAATTCCATTGGTATCACAAAAATTGTTAAACTCCTTGTATCTGTTGAACAAGAGATCCCTATAGAAGCAGAAGCAGAAGTGCCTGAAAATGTGGAAGAAGAAGTGGAAGAGGCACAAAAAATGGAGTTATTCTCAACAATAAATGAGTCAGTAAAATGCAACATTATTTTTGGAGATGAAACTAAAGTTCCAATAAAAGGCAAAGGAGATGTTCTTGTTCGTGCTAAAAATGGAAGTCATCTTTTGATTTCTCACGTTTATTATGTACCTACTTTGAAGTCCAATATTTTGAGTTTGGGACAATTACTTAAGAATGGCTATGACATTCACTTGAAGAATCTTTGCCTTATTTTGAGAGATGTTTCTCATAAACTGATTGCAAAGGTGCCAATGGAGAAAAATGGAATGTTTCTACTCAATGTTAATGTTGACCATCCAAAATGTAAATAAAAATGAGTAAATAGAAAAAATAGTTTGAAAATAATAGTTGTCAAATAGGGTTTTAATTTCATGAACTCTGAATTGTATTTATAATAGTTAGATTTTGTGTATTAGTTATTTGTAATTGTTAGATCACTTTAATCGAGTTGCTTGAATTGCCTCTAGTCATCTTATGTTATATTGGTTATCCACATCCCGCACATGAAGTTGAAGTAGTAATTGCATCTACGACGAACATCATAATTTTTATCGAGTGAAAAATGTTGGAATCTTGAGATTAATTTGAGTACATGTACAATAAATTTGAAACTTCAAGGACTGAAAGAATGAAATTGGATACCTAGAAGAACTAGTTTGAGATTTTTATGAACTTTAAGGACGCCATTTAAAATAAACTCCCAGCTGTAGATGAATTATTCAAACTGGTCTTCTCACATGCTTAATTTGGAAAATGTCTATGTACCAATTCTCTTTTGTTGTTTAAAATGTCCATTCTCTCTATTGGAGTATAAGTAGATGGAAAACTAAGTTAGGTTTGAGATGGAATTCATAAGTGGTATCAAAGCGGAACCCCAAATTTAATTACTCATGAATGCACAAGAATCCGTGCATGTGTGCGATAAAAATTCGCATAAAGTATGTACTCTAGTTATTTTCAATGACGCATGATGATGAATTCTCGACATGGTGGAGCTTCCATAATGATGTGAGCTTGATACATTTGAAAATAACTTAGAACTCGATAAAGCGTGTAATGTTCTCGATTGAAAAGACAAGGGCAGAAGATTTCATTAATTGAGCGAGTTGTGACGATCATATATAGGTCATGATTATTTTGTGATACTTCGTTTGGTTGAGAATTAGTAGAGATGTGCGAAAAAGTCTATATCAATAAATATAAAGACGATTTGCCAAAAGTTTACAAAATGGTTGAACGACTTCAACTATCAAGTTAACATTTTGAGATAGAACGCTTGATTCCTAAAACCACTCACTTATAATGGAATTTTCCCGTCAAATTTGCTTGTAATTACTTAGGCATATGGCACCCTCAGCTTAGATAGAGGCCAAATTGAGGCTGCCTTCCCAAAACTCTACTTTTTTATATTAATATTTCCAACCTTTCATTTTTTAGGGACGGCCAACGTTGGGTAGACAAATAAGAGTTCGCCTCGACAATCAACTTAATTAGATATCGAATTTTGAAGTACATGTACAAACATCTAAGTACATCAAAAGGGATTTGGCATCAAGTTTGTGAAAATGTTGAAGTTAATTTCCACCCAAGATCTGGTAGATTTGCAATAAATAACTCGGACCAACTTAGGGCAAACTTCATTAATAATGCAAGGTAGAAATAACAGGTAGTACACAGGTTTCTCATGCGAAATGGATTGCAACATTTAAGGCTAATTCATTCTCATGCATACATTTCCAACAAATATAGATTTTCAAATAACAAAGCAGCACCCACTCTGATTGCTATTCTAATTGATTAAAGAATACTTAAATTACTTATCAACACTTATTAATGCAAGAAGCAAGCAATTAGTGGCCACCACCAAAGCCTCCACCTCCACCAAAGCCACCTCCACCACCTGCACCAAAGCCTCCACCTGCTCCAAAGCCACCTCCTGCACCTGCACCACCACCTATACCACCTCCTCCACCACCACCAAATCCACCACCCCCACCTGCACCTCCTCCTAATCCTCCACCAGCACCACCTCCAAATCCACCACCACCTCCTGCTCCTCCACCAAGTCCACCACCTCCTCCTCCTCCCAGTCCACCCCCAGCTCCACCTCCAAGTCCACCACCACCACCACCACCACCTGCTCCTCCACCTAGTCCACCTCCACCTCCTAGACCACCACCTCCACCAAGCCCACCTCCTGCACCACCTCCAAGCCCGCCATGATGATCTAAACCTCCACCTCCACCAAGTCCTCCTCCTGCACCACCTCCAAGACCTCCATGATGACCTAAACCTCCACCTCCACCAAGTCCTCCTCCTGCACCACCTCCAAGACCTCCATGATGACCTAAACCTCCACCTCCACCAAGTCCTCCTCCTGCACCACCTCCAAGACCTCCATGATGACCTAAACCTCCACCTCCACCAAGTCCTCCTCCTGCACCACCTCCAAGACCTCCATGATGACCTAAACCTCCACCTCCACCAAGCCCACCGCCTGCACCACCTCCAAGACCTCCATGATTACCTAAACCACCACCTCCACCAAGCCCACCACCTGCACCACCTCCAAGACCTCCATGATGACCTAAGCCACCACCACCACCTAGACCACCCCCACCACCCAAGCCACCTCCAGCACCACCTCCAAGACCACCACCACTACCACCTCCTATACCACCACCACCACCAAAACCTCCTCCAGCCCCACCTCCTAGACCACCACCACCTCCTAGACCCCCACCTCCACCACCACCAAATCCTCCACCAAGCCCACCAGGTCTAAACCCCCTCTTATAAATCCCATGTCCTATCCCCCCTCCAAGACCAGGCCCACCAAATAAGTGTTTATCCCCTTCATCTTCCCTAACATTAGCAAATACTACGTCATCAACTAGCAAAACAATCGACACAAAAACCAGAACAAAACGAGAAAACGAACTCATTGTAAGAAAGCCCTAGACATGCAACACAAGTCATGAACTTGTACGTGTTATAGGGCTATATATAGTGAAAAATGAATAATTTTATTACCACATGGTAGGTCCACTATAACTCAACTGTCACCTTCTATAGAATTAATGTAGTTTTATAACAGGACAACTTATTTACTGTTCTCACCTGTCCCCTGCTTTGTACTCTCAATGACACCACTGTTGTCATTATTTCTTGGTTATATTTAATTTGGCTTTGAGAGTCACATTCGAATAGTTCATATTCCTCCAACTAATAAATATCCATAATGGTATTGGTCAATTACTCAATTTCATCGAGCATCAGCGTTTCCGAGAGGTCGAGCGCTCTCCTCTACCATCAACGTACGCAATCATATTTATTAGTCCTCCATCTTTCATATATATAGAAACCAAATAGTGTCTCGCTATACCCTACTTCAAACTCTTGGTGACCAGTTTCGCTTACGAGCTCAATATAGTATCAAAACAATAAATGTAGATTGACTTTTTGTCATCAAATCTCAAGATGCCGCATTAGAAATATTTTTTCACATGGTTAATGTATCGACTTCTCTAATGGATAATGGGACTTTGTGCTACATTAAGTTGTTAAGAATTGCTCCATGGATATAATTGAGAATGTTGCTCTTGGGGATTCTTTGACAACCATGTGACCAGATGAATTGCGGAACAATAGATCAAATTCAAATCTATTTTTAAAAAATTTACATATCTATATGATGACCGATTAAAATAATAATAAATCTGATTTATGTAAGAGCAAATTAGATGGTTAAATTTTCAGATCATGAGTTTCATACATTTTACGAAAAAAAAAAAAAAAAAAGAAGAGAAGGGGGTGGAAGAAGAGTTATTACATTTTTCTCCATACATAGCATAATGACTGAGCGGAAAGCAACGCTTTGAAGGGCCGAAATTCCTTAAAAACAAACCTAATATTTTTATAATGCGGACTTGCAATTTTTGCAATATTATTTTGAACACACAGGGCAATAGTCAAAATCAATCATGTTATATGGCCAAAGTCAATGACAGAAAAGTATTTCCAGATTACACTTGGTCGTTTTTCATTGAAGAGTGAAAAAAAATCATAAAAACACTCAATCATGGGCTGCCATATCATTCTGTTTTATTTTTTCATGGCTGCTCAGCATTATTCAAACGGTATGATTAATGCAGACAGAAGAGGGAGCTGAATGCATTCAATGCACACAGAGAAATAACGTGATAAAGGAAAAGATAAAGTTATCAAGGCATGCAGACCAAAATAAGCTAACTCAGAAGTAATAATTGTGATAGCAAACTGCGAGTATTAAAAAATAATGTGTAAGCCTGTTGTTTTCCATGGCACAAGTTCAAACTCTTCTATACCTATGTCAGATTTAGAACTTGAACGTAATGAAATAGATAGACTTATTAATATTTATTACACCATACGGGCGTGAACTTAAAAATAGTTTGGAGGCCCGTTGGTTTTATAGCACAAGTTGAAACACCTCGATACGTACCTATGTCAGATTTAGAACTAACTGAATGTAATAAAATGGATAGACAAATTAGTTTTGATTAACTTCTAAGGTTTGCTTGGCAAAGATTAACTTTGTTTTTAAACTGGTTAAACATAATTTTTATAAAATCCACAACTTAATTATTATGCAAACATTATATTCTATAAGCTCAATACTTTTAAGTACTTAAAAGCAACAACTAAAATTAGTTTGTAGTTGTTGGTGTTAGTTTGATGCCCATTCTTCGAGTAATGTTCTGTAAAATCACATTACGAATTTACGTTAGTTTATTTGCGTGTTATAATTTGAAGTGATTTTCTAAGGTTTCATGATCATACAGGATGTCACAAATTGTATACTCGATGGATTGGGTATGGTAAGACACAATTTGTGATGTGATCAAAATTATGTCGTTCACAATCGGTTCATAAAGTTGGACGCTTTATGTTGATAAGATTGTATTATTCTTATTAAGATTTGTCTAGATCTTGAAATAAGAACAATAATGTGTTTCGATGCACATTGAACGGGACCGCGTAGATGACTCATTTGTGACCGTTTGAAATAAGACTCTACTTGATTATCAAACAAGTCACCTAAATTCTAAGTGAGTAATGTACCTTTGATTGCTAGTTCAAGTTCTTTGAGATACCAATGAGTGAAGTCTTAAGTAGAAGATTGATCTCGGTGTTTTGGGAATCGGGCCGAAACAATTAGAGATCATAAACTTACAATATTGGAATTCATTAATCATTGAGATGAGATGATCGTCACTCTACGGTATTTTTCTAGGCAAATTGAATCTGAGCTCAGTAGGTCGACGATGAGATCGTTGGACTTTACATTGTGATTTGATCACAACGAATTTGCCGTATGAAAATGAGACTTAGAGGGTAATGCATGTTGAAGGGCAAAACGGTCATTTTTCCAGTTTCAACATATTGACGGTCAAATGGGGGTTGACTTGTGGAACGATAATCAGAAGATATTGTTATTGGATCATAATTTGCTTCTATAACTATCACTCGACTCGAGAGTGCAATCTCGATTTTTTGGTAGAATAAGTCGGGATTAATAGATGTATCTCAATTGGTCAAGAGTTGACCCAATTGAAAACATCTATTGGAGCTTGGGTCATGTGAGTCCAATTAGGTCCCTCTCTTGGCTTCAATAAAAGGTGTGTGACTTAATTGGTCTACTACAATAAAGTCTAAGAAAATTTGTGCAATTTTCAAATCCTAATAGGTCATTATAAATATACACATTATTGGCATATTTTGTGATGATTTTAGGGTTAGCCACTTTTCACATTCCCCAAAAAGGAATAACACCTAGTGGAGAACGAGGGAGAAAATTTAAGGGAGGAAGCAATTAGCTAGGCCATTAATAGCTCCTTCAAAAAAGGTTATCATCTTCCCTTTCTATATATGTGAGGATTTTATAATCCAATGATCTCAAGGTCAATCAAGTTCTTATTTACATGATTTTAATCTTCAAAGGAAAATTAATTTCCTATTATGATGATTAAAATTCATTAACCAACAAATGGTATCAGAACCAAGGTTATTGTATGCCTTGAGTAGGATTAATTTTTTTTTTAAAATCCTAGTGTAATATGCATTTTAGTTGGGCGGTGTTAGATTATTTGATTTTGACATGTTTATACTTTAAATATGTTTAAAGTTATTGTTGAGACACTTATAATCACTTTTGGCCCTAGAATTTCTTTTTACTTTTTATTACAATTCATTTATTATGGTTATTCTCTAGAAATATTGTAAGCCATAAGGTATCAAGTTTTTTTTTTTCTTCATTTTTCGTTTTTATATTTTGAGGAAGAAATGTAAACTTGTAATTTCAATGAAGAAGGAAGAACAAAGAGCAAGAAATAAAACCAAAAATACCAAAAATCGGATAGCAGCTGCCTCACAGGGCAGCTGCTGCTGGAACCAGCAACAGCAGAAACAAAAACAGAAACAGAAACTGCTGCCTTGCGAGGCAGCAGCAGGCTGTCGGAGGGCCGGCTCCGGCGGCTGCGTCGGTGGCGGCTTATTTTGGGTCGCCGAAAGTGTGTGTATTTTTGGTGAAAGTATGTTTTCTTGTTAGGGTTTGAAAATTAGGGTAATTTGAATTTTTTGGACATTTTCTTTAAAACTTGGATCAATGTTATTGGATAATGGTCTTGCTGGTTTTAGGTTTTGAGCCTAAAAATTAAATTAACCATATTTTTTTTGTTATATGAGGTGGACTACAAAGAAGATTGAAGAATTGGGCCGGAATGTGGCCCAATGTAATTTTTTTTATCCATGTTGTAATTTAAATTCTTAGGATGGCCCATTAGTGATTATTATTCATTTAATTATCGCTTTTACCGCTTTATGGATGGATGAATGTTTAATTATTATCGCATGTCATGTACATTAAATGAAACACCACCCGGTGCACTAAAATTATATACATTTACATTTAAATATTTTTTTATCACTCTAAAATTAATTAGAGGTCGTTGAAAAATATTTTATAATTAGCGTCATTATAATTGTTTATATTTGGCGGACTAATTAAGTGAAAATCCAACGGTACAAAATAATAAGTGGGAGAGGGTTTATAGACATGTATAAACCTATGGCCTCCTCCGTCATCCAATTTGTTATTAAAATACGTATGTTTAGTGTCGAATTATATCGGTCTCCCTATAGGAAAACTACGTTATTTTAAATTAACTGAAATTGGATCTAGTAATAGAATTTCTTTAAAAATGAAATAATGGGATGATCATCCTATAGACGTCATCTTATATATTTCGAATATTTTAAAATTATTGACGGATGTTATTACACTTATATATGAATATTTTGGGGGACTTCCTATAAAAGATTTCAACAAAATTATTCATAGGCCAAATAATAATCAATCCTCATTTTCTTGTGGCATGAGATGCCTAGCTCAATAAAATGAGTGGGAATGTTCTAACCTTGTCAACAACTACATTGACCTCCTATAGAGAGCGTGTTTAAAGTTGTAAGGGTTTAAGGTTTTTTTATTACAAATATAATTTTGGGTCTACATTTTCATATTCATATACACGCATCATACAAAGATTATTGCTCATTTTATTAATACGCGAATCTTTAATTTTACAGAAAATGTCGCTTAATCCATTATCAGTAATACTTAACAAAAATCAATTCGTGGGAGTAAACTACGTTGACTGGAAAAGGAATCTTAATATTGTTCTTACAGTTGAAAAACACAAATATGTGCTGGATAAAGTTTGTCCTAAGGCCCCTAAAGATGACTCCACAGAATCTTAAAAGGCTGCATATGAAAAGTGGCATCATTCTAATGAGTTGGCCTGTTGTTACATTTTGGCATCCATGTCAAATGTGTTACAACAAAAACATTAGAATATGCAAACTGCTTTTGACATAATAGAAAGCCTTCAAGAGATGTTTGGACATCAAAGCCGACAAGCTAGGCAAGCCTCCATTAGAACAATTATGAACACACGCACGAAACCGGGAACATCTGTAAGGGACCATATGTTAACCATGATTGGTCACTTTAATGCTACAGAGGTTTTAGGAGCTGACATTGATTCCAAGACACAGATTGACATGGTCCTTGAGACTCTTCCTGAGATGTTCTCACAATTTATAGTTGATTATAATCTACACAA